TCCATGTTTGTTGCTGCTCTTTTCACAATAGCTAAGAGATGGAAGCAACCTAAGTGTCCCTCAGTTGACAAGTGGATAATGAAAATGTTCATTTATATGATGGAGTTTTACTCAGCAATAAAGAAAGATGAAATCATAAAATTTGCAGGTAAATGGATGAAACTAGAAACTGTTATACTAAGTGAAGTAACACAGACTCAGAAAAAAAAATCAAGTATTTTCTCCCTCATATGTGGAGCCTAGAACCAAATCTGGATAAGTGAGTATGTATCCAGACATAACTAGGATAATGGAAAGACATAAACCAGGATAATGGAAAGGAACCAGAGAGGTAAAGGAAAAGAAAGAACCTGAAAGAGAAGAACAGTAGTAAACAGGGGTTAATAAGGGAGATATGGATAAAAATTGGGTTAGTTTAAGGGAGGGGGAGGGAAGTGTATACAAGGAACCTAAGGGATAAAGGGAAAGAAGGAGCTCAAGAGAGGTAGGACCATAGGAGAAGGGTATTAATAAGGGGGAAAGGGGGAAATGGGGGCACCGTAAGTGGGAAAACCATGATGGAGGGGTGAGAGATAAACAATGCCTAGCTAGTTTTGAAAACCAGAGGGAACCATATTACTCCTACAACCTACTGACAAATTATACATAGCAGATCAAGAAATATATGTCTAAGTAAGGTTTATCTAGAACAACTGGCCTTTGCCCAAGATTTATCTACATGACACACAATAATTAAAAGTACCAGACTGGTGGAACTAACCTTCTTGGGTGTTTAGCAGACATACTTTGGGGCCTATAATAATTTGGTCAGAGGGACATAAAGGACACTTTTTGCTCCTTGCCCTCCTAGGTCAACTACTTCCAAGGGACTATGAGCATCTCTCAAAATGTCCTATAATGGTGTTGATTCACCTGTCCTCTTGATCAAGGAGGCCGAGGAGACCCCACCAGATGTACTTGAACCAGTGTCCAGTCTACAAAGTGGAGGGTCAACACAGAGGGATCATTTCCTCCATGCTTCCAAGCAAAGCCAACCATGGTCGATCAGGACCTTTGACTCATCTTCACATAGGTGGAACTGGTAAAAGAAAGGAGCCAGGGGCTCCTTCCAAGCCCATGTGACCCCTGAGGAACAGATCCTCGACCTTAAGAGTAAAAATAAATTGGTTTATCTGGACCAACTACATGGCCTTAAACACCCAAAAGGAAAATATAACCAAATGCTACATAACAAGCAACAATGCCAGACAGGCGATACTTTCTTTTGAGTTTTTGGCCAGGGCGGCCCAAGGGACTCCCAGATAGTAACCCAGTGTAGAAGTGGGAAAATGAACAGCAGATCCCAATATTATCTAAAGGAATATTGACAACTGATTGCTGCTAGATGAGGAACAACTGACCCTCCTAAAACAAAGCCCTCTAGATAAGCTGACTAGATTCACCAGAAGGGCAATTAGTGGGGAATGGCTGGGGTGCCGACAACACAGCAGACAGTAGCAGGGATATCAGAGTATAAAGGCTCTAGTGGGGGGGGGGAGGCTATGGGAGGGTGCTATCTGGAAAATGGGTGTGTAGTCGAATGAGATGGTTTGGGATGTTCTGTGTGACATACACAGACAAAAAAACAAATTTTGTAAAAATGTATTATATTTGAGGAGGAAGCATGGAAATTTATATCATGCTAATTAGTAAAGGTGATAATACCATTGAAATCTGCCCGATGACTATAGACACAGGCACCAAGGATCCAAGTGCAACCGATTATGACTAGTAATAATCAGATACATACAGATTAGAGGTATAAGCACCAACATCTCAGTAGCAAAAACAATGAGTCTGTCTGCAAGGAACAATATATTCTAAAATGAAATGGTGATCTTTTTAAAGGTTAAAATCATGAACTTTATGTCTTACAGGGCTTATACTGAGTTCAGTAATATATAACTATATTAATTCAGCTGTGAACCTAGAAGCTTGCAGCCACTTGTGAAAGAAATGTACTGTTGCTCTGGAATGTGTTACTGAATATGTTAAAGCTGTAGTGAAAAGCTTCTAATCATGTAGTTAGTAGTTATT